TCACTAGCACTCTCGCTCTCTCTCTCTCTCAGCCTCCTCTTCTTCTAATCAATTCCTCTTTCTCTTGTCACTCTCTCTTGTAATCCCAATACCAAACTACGCCTACTCCTCTTCTAGTGTCTCTCTCTCTCTCTCTCTCAGCCTCCTCTTCTTCTAATCAATTGCCTCTTTCTCTTGCACTCTCTCTTTGTAATCCCAAATCCAAAACTACGCCTAGTCCTCTTTCAGCGTCTCTCTCTCTCTCTCTCTCTCATATACCGCCACTCTGCATCAATCTTTCCCATATCTGCTCTCTCTCTCTCTACGATTCTCTCTTTCAACTGCATATCGCGATGAAGGTGAAGTAGGCCATTATCTTGGCAATAATGCGCCAAACTAGTATTTGTAGTGAATCCTCATGTTAAGTAGTCATGCGTTATGATAGAAACTCCAATTCTCTGGCAAATACGGCCCTTTTGATCATTTCTTTGTGTGTACCTACAGTAGTATTAAAGTAATGTTCTTTAATTTCACTTGTTTGCCTGTGCTTTATAATCACAAAATAAAAAACTGTTCCACACAAATGGTTAGGAGTTCACATTCTTATCTTCCTTGGTAAAAACAAGTCCACCATGGACGCATTCGTAAACCTCTCTCCTGTAGTTCTTGGCATATAACCCCAATTTTGGGGGGTTTCTGCAGCCCCACATTCTCCTCTACTCCTCACTCTTGGCCTCTGGTTTTTCTCCTGACGGTGCCCTTTGCTGCTCCCACCCACAAAGTGTTTGATTGTCACAAAGCCATATAGGTCCGTGCAGTAGTGGTTGAATTACATCTTGTAAACCTAGGACCCTGGTCTTCCACATGTCAGAAACTCTAAAAAATTCCCCTCAAAAACTCCTTGGAAATTTACAATTGTGAAGTCCATATAAGACGATATCATCTTAGGTTCCCAGGAAGATTGAAATATCTTCTCATTGAGACCGAAACCCATTTAGGAAAGGGCAGCAAGAAATAATTAAGAACCTCAGCATCAAGGCAATCAAATTGCACCTTCTCCGAGAAAGAAGAGCATGCTTTTCAGTCAGATCTTTCTTACAATCAATTCTACCAAAATTATTGTGCCATGAGCAGGAGGTTGTAATAGTTCTACAGAGTTCAAAATTTTGGGGTGTTTGATGGAGTCTGGTTAAAAAGTTATTAGGGAATGGTGTGATAAATGGAAATTCGTAGGGGTTAGAGGTGTGATAAAGGAAAGATTACTGAGAGGATACTCGAAGAAGCTCAGTGTAAGAAAATGGTGGCAGAGGGTGTGAGAGAGTTGTTCTGGAAGTGGGGCAATATGGTCTATTGCGCCCGCTACCCCCCAATCCACCCACCCCCCCCTCCCCGCGAACCAATCACGTGGGAAAAGAATCCCATTTCGTTTAAAGTCTAGGATGCCCATTCTATTAAAAAATATATCGAAGATTATTTTTCTCTTAAAGAGACTATAATTTTATTGGGTTTGTGAACATTCTTATTGTCATCATGAGTTATCATACCAGAATTTATACATTACATAATTATATTCATTTCCATCGTAGTCATTATTCATCACTTGTTTATATAAAATAATTATAAATCCTATAACTGAGTCAATGAGGCAATGCTATCTTTTTTATTTGTTGCAAATTTGATGCTTTTAACTTATATCCTTAAAATAAAAGTAACTAAGGTGGTGATTCTGGAAAGGCATATTTACAGCAAAGGAGTAGAATTGTGTCTGATTTACTGGTGGTTCTATTTCAAGCATGGGCAACCCCCCATGCATCTTGTCATTTCTCATTATTCGTGTGATGTTGAACATTTCCACATAGAATGCATTTCAAACTGTTATCTACACAGCTGTATTTGCTAATGAAAGCCTTGCTTCTCCTTGAATTGTTTTATAGTGAATGTTCCTGGATATTGATTGTATGAAAAAGATGATGTAAAAGATAATGAAGAGATGAATTCTTATTTGTAGACAAATTCTTACTCTTGACTGATGCACCTGCTGTTTATGGCATATTGGTAAGGCATCATGTTCTTGGCACAAAAAGCATTGTTTTTTTTTTTAATAACATTGTGTAGTTTCGTTCGACTCAATACTTCACCAATTTTTTGGCATCTTGAGCATCATCTTCATCATCATCACTCAAATGATTCAGCAGCTCCTGACTTATTACTAGGATTCGGCATATGGCATATAGACATTGATGGATTTGTATGCGTCTACCAAATTAGGTAGCCCCTGTGGATCTCCTTTTCTCTCATGGTAAAATGTGCAATACTTGCACAGGGAAGAACAATGTTGGAGAAGTCGCTAGGCGGCGCCTAAATGATGTGGAGCCTGAGCCGCCTAGGCACCTAGCGGACACCCAGATGTAAGGGCAGCCCTAGTGTGGTGGTAGGGGGATGAGAGAGAGAGGAGCTGTGTAGGAATGAAGAGAGAGAGAGAGGAGCTGTGTAGGAATGAAGAGAGAGAGAGCATTGTTCTTATTTGTTCTATTAATTTTAAATTGCCTCTTGTATTTTTAATAGATGAATATTTTAATATATTTGTCTCAATAAATTGCCATTTATATTTGTCTAGCAGTTACTTATACTCTATTATATTGTATTAGTAACTTTTGTTCTTTGGTATTGATAGTCAACAATATTTAATGTATTTGTACTATAGTATTTTTGTATTATTTTTTAAAGAGACATGATTGACCCATTTATTAATGACATATGACATTGATAACATTTATTAATGGGTGCGGTTTATCATAATTAAGGCGTACCTTAAAATTTTATCATAACATGTAATTTTGTTATAAAAATTTCTTAATATTATCTTAAAATCTATTTTCATACCTAATTAGAAAATTTTAAATCCCAAAAATGGTTAAAATCAAGTAGATCTATAAATATATGAAAATCTTGAAAATGGACGGTCTAGATAATGTGTTGCAAGATGCACTATTTCCGGGACTCAAAAACCTTTTCTTTTTCATATTCATACATCTCAATGTCGAGATGATCGATTAGAGGGTTTTTTCAGCATTAAAATAATATTTCCGATAGATTTTTGAGGTGCATCTGTGATTCTACATTTTAAGGTTGCAACCTTATATAAACTTTTCCCTTTGTTAATATATTTGTACTATAGTATCAATAGTAAATTACTTTTTTAAGAAACATCATTGACACATGCTGACAGTGAAGCATGTATTAATAATATATTAATTTACCATATTATGATAATGTGATTATAAATAATATTATATAGTAGTTCTAAATAATATTTTGGGGGGTTAAATTACCACCCCTAGTCTTTAAACAAAGAAAGAAGGGGCAAGAAGACCAAAATTACCCCTACCCAGGGGGCATTTTCGCCCCTCTCTCCGTCATTTGTTGCGGGCTGCCTAGGCACCGGCCATGTGGCATACCCCTCCCACCTGCCCGCTAGCCCTGGGTGATGCGCCCAGGGCTTCCGGCCTCCTAGGCACTTGGGTGGGTGCCTTTTTCAACACTGGGGAGGAGAAAGTCAAACTGGCATATGCTAAACCAAGATCTACTTGTCTTTTATCAACTGGGGACACTTACTTGAGAAATTGCAATGATCTTGCTTTAAGCAATTTCCAGTGGAAAGGAGATTGCGTCAAATAATCAAGGACGAAGGGGTCTTGAAGTAAGTGAGGAATTTCTGAGCACTCCTTATTTCATTCCAGTTAATTTCTCCCATGTATTCTCTCAAAAAAAAAAATCTCACATGTCAATGTGCTTAAGGCATGGCCAAGCAAAGTCAAATTTAGGTGGGAACCATTTCATAGGAAATTTCTTTCGCAAACTGGTACAGTTCCAAATTTGAGACACATATGCCTGGGTTCACTTATCTTGCATATGGCCCACAGTTTTCCTGTTTCCTGACGTTTATGCTCCTTATTTTTTATCAGGTCCCAGTTGTTTCATTGGTTCTTCCTAGATTTCTCAATCATTAGTGTACAAACTCCTTTCCAACCTGTATTATCAAATAATGGGGAAAGAACTTCATACAATCTACACCCCTTTTTGTTTTCTTATAGTCATTCATATGGTTCTGCTTAAGTCCTTTTCTTGACACCAGGTTTTTCTTAGTCATTTTGTTTCTAATGATTGTGTTATTAGACATGTCATGCTGATTGACCATCTTGGTAAGCATGTATTGTCATCATCATTATGATCATCATCTTAAACTTGATGCCTGCCACCTTTTTTAGCATGAGGCTTCACCATCTAATTCATGTTTTGCAGTACTATGACTGCGTTTGAATTGGAATTTATAAAAAACCACACCCCACAGTCACCCTTCAAGAACTGCAATCCTATCTGGTTGGGTTCCTTTCCAAAATTCAGAAAAACAGAAAATTTGACTGGAAGGGCCTTTTGACTGGTCCCAATGGTTGGTGCATTAGGTTCTGATTTCACGGTGAACTGGCTGGTCTCAATTTCCTTTGTAACAGAAACACTTATGCAGAATGTTTTTGAGAGTCCCAATCAATTTAGGTGAACTTTTAGATGTTTAAACATTTTATATGAAGCAGGGGTTAAAGTTGCCAAGGCTTAAGTGGATTTATACATGAAATCCCTCTATTTAGCAAAATGATGGTTTTGCTCCTTGGGTTAGGGGAAAAAAGGAGTTCAAAACCTCCAATTTTTGGATTCCTTGGGCTGTGATCATTTGCCGAATTATCACTAAAATGACATCTAATGTTCCCTAATTTTCTGTTATTTGAAAACTTCCATACCATTGGGTTCGAGTTCGACAAAGTTTAAGCCGATAATAAGTTTCACAGACTCCAAAAACAAAGTTGTGTAAAATCAAAACAGAGCAAGAAAGCAGGGGTAAAAAATCAAAAGAATATCGGTCAGATGAATGCCATCTCAGGCAAGAATGGAATTAGTTGACGACGGAGTCTGCAAAGGTTATATTCTTCTTTATTTTTGGATGTCAACTTGGCACATCTGGTATGGAGAATACAATGACCACTGTATCTTCTCTTTGTTTTGTTTGAGGAACATCGAAACTTGGTGATTCCCTGAAATACTTTTTAAGGACATTGCAGTGTGAATCTTATGAGGTAGAATAGCCTTGAAGTTCTTCTGTACCCCTCTTGCTACAAATCGCCTCTAAGCTGCATAATTGACAAAGCTTTTAGGCAATGTTCAGAAAATAGACTTGGCCAAGGTACTCAGGCCTTGGCCGAGGCGAGTTACTCGGGCGCGTCCGAGTAACTTGCCCGAGCTCATTTTCTTTTTAAGAAAATAAAGAGAAACAATTGTTATATATAGTATGAGTGCCACTTTTATCAATCGTAGCGAGCGGTGTGCTGGTTAGACTGCCTCTCGTCAATGTACCTCTTTACAAGAGGTCTTAAGTTCCATTGTTAGGGAGGCTACATTTTTTTTTGGAACTTCCATCATATGGAAAACAATGTGTGTCCTTGTTCCCATCATATGAAAAAAAAAATGATGGTCTTTAAAAATGGTGTTCTCCAGTGGGATTCGAACCCCGGCCATGTTAATATAAAAGCACGAGGACAAACAGTGAAGCCATTCAAGGACATTTGACTAAAACTTGACGTATTAACATAATTAAACATTTCAAAAATGTTGTACAGCCCAAATCTCAAAACACTCATATTAGGAATTACTGAATAGGTGTCCTTCAAAGAAGAAAAATAAAAAATGCGGAAGGGAAAGGGGACCGACCTTCGAGATTTTTTTATTGCTGCTTCTTTGTTCATATCCCTGCTAGAGAAAAATTGTGTTTCTGATGAACTGTTGAATTTCTCCTTTAGCACATTTGATAAGCTTTGACAGAACTGTTTCATGATGGGAAATGAGAAATGTTATTTTTGAGGCGTGATATTAGATGCTTGTATAAGATTCAACTGTGGAAACACACTAAACTTGTGTATGGCAAACTATCCACCAGCTATCTTGATGAAATTTCAAAATTTTATTAATAAAGACGAGTTGAAATATCGGGTTACCTTTTTGTATTCTGATATGTTCCCTGCAGATTTTGATACTTCTACCACACAATGCGTTGGAGCCACCTCAATCACCTGCATTCATGGTGCGCTTATCATGAAATATTTTTGATTTTGGAGATCATATGAGAACCAGACCAAGCAAAAGTTGCAGAGTAGCAGGTGACGCTGTGTACCTCTGCTGATAATGCAAAATATGATCTGCTCTTTTTCCTTCCCAATTCGTGAAGTTTTAGCTGTTGATTACCAAATTAAACATACCTTCCATAAACAATATTTCATCTATTTACTTATCAAAAAGCCAAAATCATAGTTAGCCTAAATTTGTCTTAGGAAAATTTACCATAATTTTAGTATTTTGTAGGAACATCCACTGTCCTTCCTGATGATAGGAAGGGGAGATTGACTGTTGTGGGACCTACCAGGATGGCCACCTAAGTATAGTTTATCTCCACTATCCATCTAGAGTGGATGATGGATGCCCCCTTGCAGTACTATATACCATTCTCCTTGGGATTACTTTTCTATTTGAATAACGAACAAATGTGATAATATGCTACCTTAGAGTGATTCATTCTTTCCACTGAGAGCCTGGCATCTTTTGCAGCTACTTCAATTTTCATGACTGTCTCACTGATTGAATGCTTCGATCCAAACCTCTTTTTCCTTGTGTAGTCGTCCTACCAAGAGAAACATGCAAAAATTCTGATGGTTTCAATGAGAAATCACTTTGGAAATGCAATCCTTAAAGATTCACATGTCCAGTTTTGAGATCACCTCTTCCTCGAAAAGTCCAGATAAGTCTAGGTCATTAGACATGGCTATCAGTTGGAAAGCATTGATGAAATTTGCAGTCTTCTCTTTCTCTGGTTTATCAGCATCCTGCTGGATCAAATCTTAGTATTGTAAACAATATGGTAAGAGAAGATTTTCCATTGTCCATTAGACTCCAAGCTACATCCACTGTTCTCACTTGTGGGTGGTTGGAGATTCACTTCACATGGATGAATGTCCTTGTGGGCTTAATACCAGGTTATTCCCAACCATGTGTAGAGGGAACAAGCGGTGGATGTAGCCTTGGAGTACCTTATATCATAGTCCATCGCAATATGGAATACTTCGATATTGCAAACCTGAATCCTTAATAGTAGATTATTGATATCTTAGTAAAGAATCTGGTTTCTTATTGATATCTTAGTAAAGAATCTGGTTTCTTAGCAGACTTACAGCTATTCCATCAAATGCATCATTGATATCGTCCACATTTATGCTCTCATCATCCATGTATCCTACAGAGGGTTCATAATTTTTTTGAAACCATTCATCTTCAAGAATCTCTGCTACTGTCATTCGCTATAGTGAGAAAGCAGGATGTTATTTGTCGTAAAGTAGGTGAATCTAGTATAACGATCTAGAGCATTTCGTGCTATATAAACTATGTTATAATTAATCTATACAAAACAAAGTTAGAGAAATTACCCTGGTAGGCATTGGATCCAGTATTCTGAATAGAAGCTTTCTGTGACTACCTGAGAACCACACAGGACAAGAGTACTCTGCTTTGCATATCTGCATATGAGTGCAAGATTAAAGCCAAAAATTGAAGAATCTTCGTTGTCTTATCAAAATCATGTTTTGAGTTTTCAATATGCTAGTAGTACCTTTTGATACATTGCCATCATGTTGTGATCTTCAAATGGCAAATATCCTGCCAGTAGTTCATAAAGGATAACTCCACAAGACCAGATATCTGCAGCTCCTCCATCATAGCTTCTATGTGCAATCACCTAGAATTGAGAGGAAATAGAGAATGCCATGTTCTAAGATTGCTCCAACCATGAGTGAAATTCAACAAGTTAAGTATTTGATTCTTGATAGCGGTCTCTTTGAACTAGCATTAGCTTTTTCTTGAAGTTGATTGTAGTAATTGGTAATAGTAGATACCATGCAAGACAAGCCTTGCCCCATTCCACTGTGCACATCAGAACTATATAAATGAAAGGGACAGGTGACCTAGACATACCTGTTGCCTCGCCTACGTAAGTGCGCAGGTCTTCTTGGTGTTTTTTGAAATGTATATGTATTATGGATTAAGTAATATATAAGATTTGTGATCTATGTTGTGTTGACATATTCTTCCCATATCAATAAGGTTGAAAGAATTTTTAAATGTCCCACTTGATGTTCGAAAATTTGAAGAGGAAAGAAACTCAAAACTCAAAAAGCAAGTTAGTGTCAACTGTTGGGTTATTAAATTCCCTTTAGTTGCGGGAAAAGTCATAAAAGAGGAACATGTGATCATCTTCATAATTATAATTTTTCATAATTATAATTTGGAGCTTATCTAACTTCACCAAACATTTTCAACTCTTTTGGAGTTGGAAAATGACCAAAATATCCTAAGATTATTGGTATTGAAGGTGATTGCTGGCTAGGCACCTAGCTAATCCTCCCTGAGGTGATAATCATGCATTCGATTAAATAATCACTTCTTCTTCCCAACCAACTACCAAAGAGAGAAATTTGTTCTTCCCAACCAATTCCACCATAGGTTCATTGTACTTTCTCTCAAGTGTCTTATGGCTCCATTTTTAATGAAGTTAGTAGTTTACTACTGGATTAAGGTACGAGCCTACTGAGCATACCAAAAATAGTAGAAAAAATGGAATACTATGCATACCTCAGGTGCAAGATAGCTAGGGGATCCACAAGCAGTAGAAAGCAAACCATTACTCTGCAAAGCTATTATTAATGATGAGAATTTTTGATGCATCAGATATGGAGAGACTAGAGATTGCTACCTTAATCTTAAAGATAAGTGCTATATACCTTGCGCAATGTGCTCAAACCAAAATCTGAGACCTTCAGATTTTCCTTCCCATCTAAAAGCAAATTTTCAGGCTGTTTCCATCAAGACACGCATGAACTATTGTCAGTCACAACATGTTATTCATCTAATCTTTGCTATGGTTTCTTCAGAACCAAACTCTTGAGAAAATTTATTTGTTTCTTCTTTGGGGTGCACAGAGAACATATGTTATCAAATTGTGATTTCACCTTTAAATCTCTGTGATACACTCCTCTTCGGTGACAGTAATCCACAGCATCAATCAACTGCTGGAAGTACTTTCTAGCCTGCTCATCAGATATCCTCTTAAGGTACGACTACAACAAAGCAACCAATTTGTTATTCTCAATGCAATTCTCAGTTATTTTATACGCATTATATCCTTATCCTTTAATCCCCTGGAAAACTTAGACCATGTTATGGAGTATAGAAGCTCACAATCTTATCTGCAAGTTGACCTCCTGATATGTACTCCATTACAATAAAGATCTTTGTCTTTGTTGCTGCAACCTACAAATTTCAATGACAATACAGGATCAGGGGGAAGTTCAGTAAACTCAAACCTTTGGAACCATGAAACCCGGAACCCAAACAGATACCAATCCAATGATGACAGGAAAAATGAGAGAAAAAGATCAGCTACCAATCCATATCAACAACTTTAAGATAAAAAAACACGTATCTCGAAACTAACCTCATAGATTTTTACGATGTTAGGATGATGCAGTAGCTTCATGTTGCTAATCTCCCTCTGCACCTGCAAATAAAATTCTAATGAATCATCATAAAATCATTTCCAAAGCCTCAAAACTTGTCTGCTGTCTCATTGGAAAACTGAAACCTGTGATAATCACATACAAACCTGAGACATGAGTTTGCTTTCTACGACCATTTGTTTATCTATGACCTTTACAGCAACCCTCTGTCGGGTCTGAGTGTTTATGGCTATCTTAACCTTGGCGAAGCTGCCTTCTCCAATGGTCCGGCCAAGTTGGTATTTGCTAATGTTTGTGGAGTGACCCATCTCTGTGAATGAGAGTCTTGAAGAAAGGCCTGTGGTGTTTCACCTGGTTCATGATACTGAGTTTTATTTCAGAAGGTTTGGTTGTATGATTTTCATACTCTTGCTTTTGCTCGTCGTCGTCAAAGCCGGCTTCTTCTCTCTTTCTATATTTTTAAAATTGAATTTGAGGCTGAGGAAGCTTGGAGGTTAAGTGGAGCCTCAATTAAGCTGACCAGTAGCTGAGACAATGTGACTAGAAGGGAAGGTACGTCTTTTTTCCCCTTTTTTGGGTCCCTAGTTTATATAACTTATTTCTTTTCCAGGGCCGCTTCCTTAAATAAATAAATAAATAAATACAACTAAAAATAAAGAAATAAATAAATTGGGAGGCTTATTCTGGTGTTTATTAGTATTTCTTCAAGGGCTTGTGTTGCTCTTATATCATGAGTAAATTTTCCTTTTTCAAGAAAACGTTTAAAGTTTGTTTTTCTTATTATGCATGAGTGTTTCTTTGTATTTTTCCTCCGTCTTATAATTCTCTGGCTTGAGAGTGAGTGTTAATGAGCTTTCTGGTGTTCCTAATAGTTGGGTTAGGTGCACGTGCTTTTTGTTGTTCAGTTGGACCTATCAACTTTCAGCAGGAGTTAATGGACCCATATACTTTTGGGATGAAGTTTCTATAAGGCCTAGGCTTTATAAAAACGAAATAAAGCCTCACCTCAAATCCTCTTGAGAGCACTTTCGGCAACAGATTTCCAGCACTGACAAAATTTAAAACTCAAAAAATATTAAGATCTTGTGGATTTGTGAACATTTATTTTTTAGGGCAAAATCGATGGTCTAGATAATTGATTACAATATACACTATTTTAAGAGTTTAAAATCTTAATTTTTTTGACAACCATAATGTTTGAGCTGAGATGATCAATATAAAGGATCTCCAAATGCTTGAATTGCAATTTGCAACGAGTTATGAAGCGAGGCTTTGCTTATTTTGATAGGGCTGCAGCCCTATCAAACCAGTTTCTTAGCCAGAGGCAACACAATAATGTAAAAACTAAAAACAGTACCAGTTTCATTGATTAAAGGAGTGTCTACAAAACTGGGATTTTTGTCTCTTTTATGAATAGATGGGAGGAAAAGCTCGCTTTCGTGAATAGAACACAAGCTGCAAAGATTTCTCTTTTTTATGAACAGAACAAAACGAAAACTTCCAGAAAAATAGTGACTGCATCGCTTCATTACAACTACCCATCTTCCCCCCGCCGCCTCTCTCTTTTTTTCTCTCTCTCTCTCGCCCTTTCTCTATATATACACACACAATGATTAGCCCATGTGCATTGCATGGTACTGCATACACTATTGGTTTTGTGTGAAAATATTTTTTAGGCAACATTTTTACATAAAAAAGATTCTCGTGTGGTCAAGTGTGAATATTTTTACATCAATTAGTTGTCATTTGGTATGAAAAGATGCACTAAAATCAATTGGCATAAAAATATTCCTAGGGATGGCATGAAAGAAATTTTTCATATTTTCATGCAATGCCATAATACTATTGAAAATTTTATATATATATGAGAAATGATTCTGTAGGACTTTCCTCTATTTATGTGTATAGGATTTCAAATGACCACTATTAAATTTGGCACGGATTTATAGAAAAGTTAAATCTTACATCCATGTGATAATTTTTTTAGAGATCCGTGTTAATTTTGGTGATCTTTTGAAATCTTATACACATAAGTAGGAAAAGATCTTATAG